GAACGGTACATGCGTGCCGGATTCCAGCCTCCGCAACAGCCTTTTCCTCCCCCGTACGTATTCCACCCTGAGCAAACTCCTCAAGTTCCGCACATGGGCGGTATGGGATTTTTCCCCAACTCCGGATATGGTGGCATGCCTATGATCTCCCCGAATTTTGGTTCTATGTCCTTTGATTTTGCGAGGTCATCCGGAGGAGGTAGTGGCACACCGAGCCACGGAGGCCGAGGAGCACCCCGAGGAGGACCCCGAGGAGCACCCCGAGTAGGAACCCGACCTGACCATGAAGACCCCCCTGTGAACCCAGATGAGTTTCTTGTTGATGATGATGATGAAGAAGAAGAAGAAAATCCAGATTTTTTTCATAATGGAGTCCCACGAAGGGACATGTAATCATCATACATTTGTACTTTGCTGTTTGTCAAAACATTTAAAAGTTTGTCACAATATTTATTAAGTTTGTTGTATGTCTTTACTCTTTAAAATGTAATTTTAAATTTAAAAAATTAGAATAATATTTTCAATAACTCAATAGTATAAAAACATGGATAAAAATTAGAATAACATTTTTAAATTTAATTTGTAAAAATACGTGTTAAAAAGTAATTTTTAAAAACAACTTTCATAAAAAAATGGAAAATTTTTTTTTACAAAACAAAAATAGTAGTCACGGCCATATCCGTGACTACAGTTAATTCGAAATTATTATTTGTTTTTAATAAAAAAAATTATTTTTTTTTTTTAAAAAAAATTTAGTCACGGTCGACAACCGTGACTAATTTCAAAATTTTAGATTACACCCGCGGGCGGTCTTTTGAAAATTTTGAAAATTTTAAAACTTAGTCACGGCCCACAGCCGTGACTAATATTTATTTTAAAAAAAAAAATATAGTCACGGTCACAAGCCGTGACTAACATGTCGGAGTGGGGTTTCCGGCATCAAATTAGTCACGGTCAACGACCGTGACTAGTCCGTGACTAAATTTAGTCACGGTTATGTGGCGGTGACTTCATTTAGTCACGCCAATTAAGACACGGAATTAGTCACGGCGGATGACCGTGACTAAACTTTTTAGTCACGGAATTTTTACACTGCAGTCCGTGACTAAATCCGTGACTACGCCCGTGTTTTTTTGTAGTGAGGGTGACACGAGTTTTAAGAAAAGTGAGTTTGTGTGGTTGATAATTAATTGATAAAGTAAGAATGATTTTGAGCTACACAAACATTACCAAATAAGGTATGAGACATTTAAATAGGGACATCACAATATGGTAAAACGGGATATTTAAAAGGAGAGGGAGGGAGTACATTATATAAAAAATAGCTAAGAGGTGGGACCATATATTTGAGAATGTCTCCAGTTCACCATGGGGTTAACAACATTGCATTCGAGATTGCTGAACTCCATAATACAATAGGTAATTGCATGTTTACAAACATGAGGATCTCCCGAGATTAGGGATGTAAAAAAAACCGACCCGCAATGACCCGCCCTGGCCTGAGACATTTGGGGTGGGTCCGACCCGCCCCGTCTTGCAAATGGGGCGGGTCCGTCCCGCCTATACAGAGGGGCGGGCCCGGGTATTAGTATTGACCCGTGCCGCCCCGACCCGCTCATTATATAAGTATACATACTTTTTCTTAAATTATACTACAAATATACTTCAACATACATATGTGTATACAATAAATCATAATTTTTTTCATCTTATAATATATATATATATATATATATATATATATATATATATATATATATATATATATATATATATATATATATATATATATATATATATTAGAATGAGATGAACGACGGATTATCAATGTTTTCTTTATATATATATATAATTGTTTTCTTTATATATATATAGCATTTTAATACATATATTCAATTATTAATATAATTAAATAGATTAAGTATTCAAGTCTGAATAATTTTTCCTTAATTTTTGAAATTTTTAACGTATCATGAATTTGATTTAATATATTTATTTTTAATTATTATTTAGAGATAAATTTTATGTAGATTCAATGGGTAACAACTTCCCACAAATAAAAATACATAATAGCAAATTAGGTTTTGACGGGGCGGGGCGGACCCGCCCCGCTAAGTCATGGGGCGGGTCCGGGTCTTGCAGTACCCGCCCCGACCCATTGCCATTTGCCATGCCTACTGGAGATATTCTTGGAGCCATCGAGTTGGATCCTTTAGAAGTTTCTCATATTTGTAATAATTTTTAATTGTTTTTTGTTTTGAAAGGCTTTTTGTTTCCTTACGTTGTATTTCCTGCACGTTTTATAAAATTTGGTTTTCTTAAATTAAAAAAAAAACTAAAATGATCTTCTACAGTAACTTCAGCCAATACAGCCAGAAAAGTAACATCAACCTTACTTTTTCTTGTGATTTCAAAATTCAGCGCATGAAATCAAAAAGTCACGTGTTTGATTAATAAATTGGCTGATAAACTTGATAAACTGAAAAACAGAGTTACCAAACGAGCGCTTAGAAACTAGAAGGTTTAGGAACGGACCAATCACTACCAATGCAAATCTCACCTTCAAAATAGTGCATACTACTTGATAATCCATTTATTCCAATTTAAACTTATCACTTACCTCTTTTAGATGTTTCAGGTTAAGATTTTATTTTTATTTTAACAAATAAGTTAGACTCGACAACTTAATTATAAAATATTAAAAATAATACGCATAACATCATAACAAGGTCAATGATCTCATTGGATTATACATATCAAAATTACTTTTTAAAATACACTCTGCGTTCCAAATTGAAGTTCCCAATTAAGCCTACACATATTTGTGTAAGAAAAGTTTTTTATTTTTTTATTTTCCAAGTATACACTTATTTTATGTCAAATCAAGTAAAATGAAGTAAAAAGTATGGATAGTTGTAACTTTTGCATAAAAAAATTCCTTTATAGAAATAAGAACTTGTTGAAAGTTGAGAAATCTGTAAAAAAAAGAAAGTGGAATTTTTTTTCCCAGAAGGAGGTAACATTAGAAATTTAGAATAGCATTTTTTTTAATTTTATATTCAATAAAAAATTTAAGCCGAGATTAGGGTAAAAACAATTAGTCAATTTTATAGTACTTCTGTACCTTTTTAATTGCCAAGACACTACTTTAACTATTCATATATGTACAACTATTGTTTTTTAACATAAACTCATCTCTATTCATATATGTACAACTATTGTTTTTTTTAACATAAACTCATCTCTATTCATATCTCTATTCATATCATAAGTTTTTGGATCATTACGTTAAGTAAAAGAAAAACAAATCTGACATCAACGAATCTCCAACAACTGCGACTATAAACCCTATGATCAGACTTAGAGACGGTTACCCCTAAAAGATCAACACGAATCCCTAACAATAAAGCTGGCTTGACACAACTATCTCTGGTTCCATAGATCCAAACACTCCCAATGACATAAAAAAATGCTAAATTTCCAAACAAACTGACAAACATAACAACATAGACGCTAACAAGAATCCAAATGACAAAATAACAATAACTGAAATATAAAAAAATAGTACTGTTGATGGAAAAAATAAAATTGAAATAAATTTTTTCCACAATACTCTTCATGATACGGAGGTGGTTCTGGAGGAGGACGAGCTATGCCAATGTCTTCGCACTCTAAAAGAAGGTTGGCAGAAATCCTTAACCAGACAAAGCTTGTCGAGACACCAAAAAAACTCCCTACATAGAGAGAGACAAACCACCCCGAAGCACAAGTGCCCGGGAAAGAACCATCGTAGAACAAAATCAACACAACCAAAAAAGAAGAATAATCTAATTGGATCATACCTCTACCAAGAATTTCTAATATTTGATGTCATCATTAGATAGTTTGAGTCACTACATCACAATAATATGTGAATAAAGGGAAAAGGTTGCTAGTATGATTTGATGATTGGCCTACTCGACCGCTGGAGAGATCAATAGGATCGGAAAAGGAGCGGCACCTAGGATTCACAATTTGTTTATATTTTAAAAGTGGATGTTATAACTTATATTATAAGTGATTAGAGAATATGTACAACTATTGTTAAAAATTATGAAAAAACATATACATCGCATATAAAACTTTTGGTTGAGATAAATTTAAAAATAACTTTTATGAGTAATATATTTTGAGTTTTTTTTAATCCTAAATAGGACTAAATTAGTGTCTAAATTCCCAAATAGGAGTAGATATATTTCTATTCCCAAATAGGACTACTATTCCACTTTTACCCCTCCTACTCATGAGATCGACGCCGAGGAGACAACCTCTCTTTTCCACCCACACATCATTGGCAGATCAATTTTCTTCTTTTCTTTTTAAATTAGACTCTACCCACCACTATCTTCTCCAATATGCTTTTTAAATTAGACTCTGCTCACCAGCTATCTTCTCCAATATATTGAGCTGCGACAACGAGATTCTGGAAGCTGCGAGAAACTGTAGCGACCATCGGCTAGCAACGAGCAAGAGATGCGAGCAGGCGCAAGCAGGGAGTAGTAAATCCGATCAGATCTGTTGCCGCCTTGGCGGAGTAAAGAAGCTCATTGTTCTCCCCCTCCTCCTCTATTGTTTCTCTCTTCTCGTCTTCTGTAGTTGTCGCAGGTCGGATGTTAGGCCAATTTCTTCTTTAGTTATTAAAATTGCCAAATTTACTCTGAAAATGTCATCAAAATGGCATTTTTATTCTTCTGAAAAATCTGTGTTTCCCTTTGAAAATGACATTAAAATGGCATTTTAGATTCATGTTGGCATTATGAGAAAAATGTTGGGCAGCGGCGGCCTGAGATGCAATGGTGAAGGTCGGATCTGCAGCGGCAAAGGCCGGATCTGCAACGCCCGCAGCCGGATTTGAAGGGGCAACAGTCCGCGGCTGGAGGCGTCCAGATTTACGGCTCCGGCGACCAGATCTACAGTGGAGGGTGCCAGATCTGCAACGGTGGTCAATTTTGAGGCCGCAACGGTGGCCGGCAAACGGTGGTTGCCGGCGAGCGGCGGTGGCCGGCAAGCAGTGGTTGCTGGCGAGTGGCATCAATCCATCATTGTGTCTGCAACATGTTACCAAGCTTCAAGGGTATCATTGTCCAAATACAAATAATAACTCCTATTTTGGGAATTTTGAAATTCTAGTCCTATTTTGACAATTACGAATTTATTTACTTCCATATATGGAATTCTCCCATATATTTTCCTAAAACACTAACCAAAAAATATAATTAAAATAGACTTTGTAAATAGTGTAAAATACAAAAATATACTTTTTAACATCTACTCCCTCCGTCCCGCTAAGATTGTCTCATTTTACTTTTTTGGGAAATCCCACTAAGATTGTCTTATACCAAATTTGGTGAAGTTTGTGTGACTCTAAACCATTCTTACTTTATTCTTACTTTATCAATTTAATATCAACCACATAAACTCACTTTTCTTAATAATCGTGCCACCTTCTCTTGTACCAATCTTAGTGAGACTGAAGTAGTAATTACTTCCGTTGTGCCTAAATTATTTTCGAAAATACATTTGACATAGAGATTAAGATAGTGCGTATTTTGTGGTGGAGAATTTTTTATAGAAGAGAGAAATGTGTAAGAATATATAAGAAATAACGTGAACCACAAATTCTCTGCCAAAAAAGCAGAAGCGAAGTCAGGATTTAGTCATAGGGGGCCAAGAAGGAACACAAATAATAAAGAGAAAATTCTTTAAATAGGAATAGAATAAAAATAAAATTTATAAATAGGATCATCGTTGTTTTATTCTCAAAATATGACTTATCCACTCCTATTTTGGCAAACTTTAATCAAATTAGTTTTAATAGAACTAAATAAGATCTATTTGAGGAGTAAAACATATTTTGTTATATTTTTTAATCATATAATTATTTCATGAGAAATAATCCTATCAAAACTACCTGACGAGATCCACCATCCGGATGCCTATGTTTGAGGTGCTTCCGGGTGATTTTTTTTTATGATTTTTTGTGACAATGTTCTTCATGATGTGCAGATTATTTACATCAAATTTCAGTTTAAAATTTAATTGGCAAGTCAGTCAAATAAATAATTCAAAAACACTGCACCAAAATATATATAAAAAACACAGTGTTTTTCCATAATTTATTTAATTGACTTTCCACTTAAAATTTATATTGAAATTCAATGGACATAACCTACACTTCATGAAATACGTGATGACAAAATTTCATCAAAAAATTCTACCCAAAAGTATCTCAAATAAAGACTTCTAGCAGGTAATTATGACCCAATTTTTATTATTATTTAATATCTAATACTAGTACTACAAAAAAATACAAAAGTTGGAGGGCTTTTACCCAATCTTTTCTGATAATTTAATATCTAATACTCCTTGCGTATCTATTTACTTGACTCATTTGCTTTTTTACGTAATTTAAGACAATTAATATTGATTATATGTAAAGTAGGAGATTTTTTGTACTGTTACGGTACTGTAACAGTTTTTTGAGTGGGTTTCTTTCCAAACAGGGAATAAGACATTTTTTTATACGTCCCGAAAGGGAAAGTGAGACAAGTAATTAGATACGGAGGGAGTACTAGCTTACTAAAAAATAAAAAAAAGTTGGGGGGCAAGGCCCCCCTACACATACATACCTTCGTCCCTGCCAAAATGAGAAATCGAATATTATTTTGAGACGAACTGAAAAGATTAAGAGTAAAGAAGAAAGGTAGTACAGCAAAAACTAGTATGACTACTAATGAAATCCAGCTATATGTCTCAATTTGCAAAAGAAAATATCATAAATGTCCATGGAGACAATCTGAAACAAATTTTTAAAGACGGTGCAAGGTATGGTTGTGTTTGTTGACCTTTGACTAAGCGTGCAATTGGGGTCGCATCCTTGTGATTGATCTTCAGCAAGATATAAAGAGCGACAGATCCCTCCAAATCAAGGACGTGGGCCCGGTTCAAAAACATGGCTTAGAATAACTTTGACCGTATTCACAACCTCCTGCTCTCTGCATGAAGTGACAAACACAACTGCACCAGAATAGTAGGTACTTATTATTTGATGATAAAAATGGGCCAACGACGAGTTGAGGGACTAACATACCGAATTTAGACCTGTAATAATAAAAAGGGAAAGTTCCTGAAATGGGACAAAAAAACGTTTGTAAATTCCAAAGTAGGACTGTCATGTTTTTATTCCCAAAATAGGAGTAATTACTGTCATGTTTGGAAAATACTGCCATGTTTAAAGTCTGCTACTTCCAAAACATGACAGTAATTAGTCCCATTTTGGGAATTAAAAACATGGCAGTCCCATTTTGGAATTTACAAACATTTTTAATCCTATTTAGGGTAAATTCTCTAATAAAAAAGATCAAGACAAATATCATCACAACAAACCCCCATTCACATCCACACACGAACATCCGATTTTAAATGCATTTAAACGTTTCATTGATTTGGTAAAAACCAAAACTGTACCTTAAAAACAGGACCAAATGGAACAAAATACTACGTATTTCTGAAGATATCTAGGGAGAGAACTCCCTACTGGACCGTTCAAAATTGGGTTAGTGTTAGAAAAAAGTCGCATTGGCCAACTCCATAAATATTTTCATACGGAGTATTTGAATGATGCCGTGTCTTTTTTCAACAAAAAACAATATCAAGTGGAGAGTCTAGCGTAGTGAACTATCATGATCAATGCTAAACTAGGGGTGAACTACTGAACTATCAATCTATAGTACCATTTTCTACTATTCTTAATTGACTCTAATCTATATCACAATTTAATTGTTAAATGGATTACCAATTAAAACTAATACATAATGGAAGCATCCTAGAGACCTAGACATTTGGATAAAAAATACATGAATTTAATAAATACTTTCACAAAAAACAATCACGGTGTATTTTGATTGTATAATGGAAAGCAGAACAATTTTTTTATGACGGGAGCAACGACCAAACATCTAGAGCATGGTCCACCAGCGCAACTGACCACTTCTGAGTTCTCACCAAAACTAGTACTCCGTAATAAAAATTCTAGGTGGGTGCGTTTCCTTTTATTAAGTGGTACATCTAGAGCGGTAAAGTGTATGGGAGAAACAAAATTGCCTAATTACAACCTGAACCTATAGCTCTCCAGCCTGTCCTGTAAATGGTCTATACAAAACCACTAAAATGCACCATCTTTGATAAAAGATGACCAGATTTGAAATGAAAATACAGTTTTCCATGTAATTGTGAAATAAGTTGAAGGAAATAATTAAGAGAACAGGGACTCAATCACTTGTTTAACAATTCTTCTAACTCTACTTGGGTGCACTCTTTACCGCAATTGAGGTTACTCTCATAACTATAACATTCTTCATTTATATCTCAAAGCTACATCCTTCACCAGTGATTATCAATAACTTATTAACTATCCAGACTCTTTCCTACATTTGTCAATCTATTCTGTATATACTAAAACTTAGAGCATCTCCAATGCTATAATGTCCACGGTGCACATGTGGCATGAGTGATAGCCACATAATTATTAGCAAATAAATTATTTCTCTCCTTATTTGAATGATTTTATACAATTTTGGTAAGTTTTTCCCTGCAATGTCAACAACAATGTCAACATTAGACGGTCTCCTTGACATTGTGGACAAAAACTTACCAAAACTGTATAAAATCATTTAAATAAGGAGAGAAATAATTTATATACTAATATTTATGTGGTCATCTCTCATGCCACGTGTGCACCGTGCACATTGTACCATTGAAGATGCTCTTAGATGACCTAACAATGTGATAACTTATGAAGTATTTCCCCCTTCCATATCGTTACAGCCTTACCTGAAGCTATTGCTCACTGAGTAATAATTTTCCAACAATATTCTCATTTCATTCATGGTCATAGAGGTGACTATTTACACTGACAGACAGTTTTAGGTCACAATTCGCAATCTCAATCACATAACAAAAAAAAACTATCCTCGCCATCAGTACAAATATTCCAAATAGAAGTTTGATATTTCCTACTCTTCTATGTACATGAACTTAGGTTAGGGTCACAATTTACTCAAGCAGTCAAGCCAAATTACGCATTAATCCTACTTTAAACTCATCATATAAAAATTTGGTAATGATTAATAATTACAATGTACTGTCATTACGAACAGTCGAGCAACTAGTAGAGAAGCAAAAAAAACCATGCCAGTAATGGATTATGGAATTTAATATGCTGTGTTTGCAATCTTACCCCAAGGAAGAATAGGGAACTCCCATCGTTGTACGGGAACTGTGATCACATATGCAGCAGCCTGCAAATTGCACAATCAATGACATCCAGTATATAATATGTTCAACAAAATGTGTTATTCTGAATCATAATAAAAATAGAAAAACCATGCCAATATAGATGCCGCTAAGCATTTCGAAGTAGTGAAAAGAACTGAAGTCTCCTCCATTTCATAAAGTAGGTCCATGATATCCATGCAAGCTTCATAGCTCACATGTTCACCCACGCGTGCAACATCCCTAAAGTCACTCAAATGGAGTGGAGTCAAATGAAACTTCAAGAAGTTCGAAAATTTGTCAACAGGTCCAGTTTGGTAAAACACTCACTTCAATTGAATAATGAGATCCTCCAGGAATACATAGGCAATGCATGACACGCCAATCTCATATTTCAATACCTTGTGAAAAATAAACATATGCACTAAGTATATACAAAAGGTGTGGTGTGGAAGAAAAAACTGATCGAGATTTGGCCTCCTACTTCTTATCCAGTGGCATGAAAAGAATTTACAGAGAGGTTTGAAGTTTGATGCGGAAGAGAAGTGTCCAGAGAAGACGATAAAGAAAGACATACTCCGTACTTAACAAAAGACACGCAATGACACAAGAGCCAGAGTAAAATGCTAGGTACCTGCATTAGCAATAGCTCCTACAAAGTAGCTTATCACCACCTGGAGAATTAGAAAATGGAATTATACACCCTTGGAACTTTATTAAAAAATAGCTAGCTTACTGCATCTAAAAAGTCTCTTGTTGTAAAATGTTGCTCAGAAATACTCTTGTCTCCCAATGACTTCAGTGTCTTGAAAGAAAGAGGAGGAGACGAGTGAATCTGAAAAAGTAAGATGAAACTACATGGTTACTTCGAAAAGAAAATGTAATGAAAAGGAAAACAAATTGATGACAAGGCCAATGAGTAAAGGCAAACATTTAACATGGCAAGACTTACTTTGCTAGAGATCCATATAGAAGCAAGAGCAAATAACTGAAGATTACTTTCACTTATAGGATCCAAAAGCCAATGTACTTTGTCCAGGCCCTTTCTGAATGGAAAGGAGTTAACGTTGATATTGAAAATAAAGCCATTGGCAGACATACTTTTACCATACAAACAGACTTAAGCAGCTATTATCATCTTACCACTTGGAAAATTGTGGCGAACACATGAAGACAGATTCTAACAGAACATGTCTAGTCACATGCAGTCTGCACTATGCACAATTGACCATACTACAGTATGCCAGTACCACAATTTTTTCTGTTTATGTTAATAAACTGACGAATGACACATTTTATTTTCTTCAATAAGTCACTCTTAACCAGATGATATTCCGGATTTCTTAGCATTCATCAAAATTCATAGTAAGTCAGCAAGTTTTGAGCATAAACTCATAAAGTCTTGGATCTCTACTATGGATGTTTTTACTTTTTATTTGGACTGAAATCTTCTGGTCTAATGTTTAAGTTTGGACTGGTCTAAACTGGTCTGGTAAATGTTTGGTCTCTATTTATATTACAATTGTCGAGGTCTAGTCTAGTTTGTTTAAGTCTGGTCTGGTCTCATCCTATGCTTAAAAAACCGACACGGACCGGCCGAGTTGACCCGGACCAAAACCCAGTTCGGTTAGTTAGAAACCGAGAAGTGGCCAAAAACAAAAAACGGTTTACCCACCAGGTTCTAGTTGACCACTTGACCCGGCCATGTGGCCGAGTAGCTTCCCGGTCCGGTTTTTAAAACATAGGTCTGATCTGGTCTGATTTGGTTTGGTTTAGGACTGAAACAAGTCCAATTAAAAACATCATAACTCATACAATGGAATTTCTATATCCTGTCCAAGATATCAGGTTTAAGAACAAGTCAAACTTTTTTCCCTAAGTCATTGACCATCCTTTCTTTCATTTCAATGGCCAAGCCATGAGTTGTGGATTCATTTTCTCCCCACAAGATCTCTCCATAAATTCCCTCTGATCAACAAGTGAGAACATAGCCTTGTATATTAAATCTCCTAGCAGCCAAAAATGTTAAATCTCCTTTTCACCTCTATCTGTGTGATTGCATTTCTGCGATCCCAGATTTTTTCCACCAATACATTTATCACTTTTCTTGTATATTACGCCATTATTATTTTTTCTTTTACTATGCTGCATGGAGATTATCATAATAAAAGTTTTAATCCCAATTGGGTTAGGGTTTGTGAAATGAAATTTTAGTAATTTACTGTTTTAAATCAATTGCCTGAGTTTTTATAATCAATTGCCTGAAATTATTCAACACTAAATTCATTTGAAAATCAATGTGAAAACATGTTATTACTTATGCCAGATCCCATTCCTACCGCATAATTCTGAAGGACAACTCATCATCATCATTTTCATTTACCCCAGTGCCGCAAAGGCTCCCACCTACGGTGGGGTAAGGGGGGTCGGATGTACGCAGTCTTACCCCTGTACTAAAGCACAGAGAGACTGTTTCCGGATGACCCATAGTGAAAATCGCGTCCAAAATTGCATGGACCGACTGCTGCTTCATAACAAAGAAGCGGACAGTTTAGTGAGCTATTTTGCTTTATTCCATCATATTCTCAAGCCAAAAAAATATGAATCTTTGGCTCCATTGCAAATGATGGAAAAATTCTGAAGGACAACTAATGACATAAAATCTCATTTTTCACTTTCTATATAAGTGGCTGTTTCATGTAAAAAACAAAACCACAATGCTTTCATGAAAACAATATATTTCAAATGAAAGAAAGTTATGCTAAATATCACTCTACCATTTCTGGAACAAGCCGGCAAGCCGGCAATGTCATATGTAACATAATGGTGGAATCAATAATTCAATATAACTACCATGAGACTAGGCCAAAGAATGTGTGGATAGCATGCATTGGGTCAATATTTAGACTTTGGTGGTGAAATGAAGATAAATGGTTGGCAACCTTGCACATTTTGGTAACATTTTGGGATGGAAAAGTCAGCTTTGTTCAAGTTTGACTGCATGGCTTGAAGTCATTGAGGGATTAAAAAAAGAATGAAGGAAGTCGCTAACGGGGGTAATTTGCTAAGTTGTACATTTCAAGCCATTGAGGGCTCAAAAAAGGCTAATGCAAGTCATTATGGGATATTCACCTGATGTGAAGAGATGGATGACATTAATCTAATTACTAATTAGCATCAGTATAACCTAATTATAAAATGTTGTGGCATAAATTTAACAGCTTACCATCCCATTACCAAATGTCGAGCATGTAATCCTGTATTGGCTTACAATAATCTTATTATCCAGCCTCTAGCTATTTATGACTTTTAGCTTAAATTGGGTAAGGAAAATATTGCATCACACTATCACAGGTTCACAATATCACTATGGGAAATAGGTCAAAAACATTTATTCCATTTCCCTCAAAAAGAAAACATTTATTCCATTTGAGCCTTTGATGAGTGTAACAGGAAGAAAACTCATGAAAGCGCCACTATATGACAAACATCCAAAACATTAAGTTTATTTTTCATTTTTGGATGACTAGCTTCTCTTTATAAATTATAATTCAGGTTTAATTGTTTTCCATATAGCACTGTCAAGCCGCTATGACATGTTGAAGTTTGAAGGGGTGAAAATGGAGAAAGGAAAGTGAAAATCTCTAATATTTGTTTCCTACCCAATTATACAAATCTTTGCCCAATCTCAAACGGATATTTCTAGTCTGGAATAATACTTATGATGCTCCAAACTCACAATAGACTCGCACATACCCTAGAGATTCGGGGGGGGGGGGGGGGGGGGGAGCAAGCCATAAGTTTGATGGTTTCTGCCACAGCAATCTACATTACAATGATACAATTTACTTTAATGAACATCAATTACAATGGTGACGAACTAACAGTGATCAAGTATATAAGTGCTTGGTAAATGGTGGTGACTTGGCTAGCCTGTGCTCGCGATATGCATTTTACCTGCCTGTTCCCGATATCTTCTAATGTTAACTACTCCCATGTAAAGTTACTTTTAGCAGTAAATTCACAGTAACATCAGATACAACTTGCAAATGATGATGGCAAACTAATGTGTTGAATAAATGCGGATTTTGTGTGTGAAGAATACGTATCCAGTTTTTCATGATTAAGATTGAGCTTGAAAATTATGAGAAACTTCCTGAAGAAAAAGCAAGTGTTTGTACCTGGAGATAGAGGAGTAAAATCGGTCAGTGAAAAGACAAAGTGCGGAGTACTTGACAATCGGAGGGACTTGCAGTTCCTTGTTTCCATTAATAAATTCAGAGAATAAAACAAACTCAGAAAAATCAGAAGTTCAGGATGGAACTGTTCGTGATTGTGGTATTAAAATTCGAGAGATTTAAGTTTTGGAAAGTTTACGTGAGTGGACTGCACAATAAATCCCACCACACGACGACGACGACGGTAAGATTCCTCGTCATGCATCTCTCACTCACTCCCTATGGACTCGGTAGTGTAGTATAGAGCACCTCCACTGGACCTTTCAATCCTTCTGATAAACTCAAATATCGGACTTTCCCTCTCCGTCTAAAGTTAAGTTTTACAGTATATATATGTGTTTTGAGAGAGATGGGAGAATTTGAAAGGTTTCGACTTTCGAGTCATACTTATGACTAAGGATTGTTTACAAAATGTTATTGGTGACTAAAATATGTGCAAATTATATTGTACTCCGGATTGTACCATGCGCATGATACAATTGAGTCTTTTGTCCTCTACTACGCACCTGCTATGACGAAAAGTGTCGAGCTCAGAGCAACAACAACCTACAGCAACGACGGACGACCTCCAATCACGAGTGACTGGCAGTCTGGCACCAATCTCCGGTGGCGATCTTTGATCCAGGCGGCGAGGCGAGTTTTGTCTGGGCGAGTCGCGAGCAGCCTCGAGCGGCAACCGACGAGCGACGAACCGGCGAGTTCATGCAATTGGTGAGCGATTTCAACCACAAGTGATGAGCGAGGGGTCTCAGCTTCGGAGATGGCGATTTCCAGCTAGTCTACAACGGTGTACGACGATTTCATAGTAGATATACATTGTTTTATTGATATGAGCATACACAAATGAAAAGTTGAGCATAACAGAGATATTAAATGAACTTTTTTAATTTTCCGATGGCCATGGGTGTAATACTCAATTTAAATGGCATATTTATCCATCTTTCAAAAGTATAATATTACATTGGATTCATATGGGTTCATAATAGATATTTTAAAAAATAAGAAAAAAAAAGTGAATTATAAAATATGAAGCTGATATCACAATGCTCATCATTAGACTCTCAATATCTAGTAGAATAGATATGATGTTCATTGAAAGTGAATTAAATGCTCGTTATCGAAAGAAGCGAATTTCACCTGAATTACCAAAATATCACCGACTATACGGTACAAGCTGTACAACCGGATGTACGATATACAAACAAACAAACTCTAGAGTAGTAATGGAATTCATATGGGGTGTTTGGATCTGATTCTTAAAATTGCTTCTGCTCCATGAAGAAGCAGAAACAGAAGTTGGAGTGTTTGGGTGAAAGTGCAGAAGTGATTGTGGTGCTCTAATTTACTCACAGAATCAGTTTTTTAGAAGCTGGAGGAGACCAGCTTTTGAAAAATGATTCTGATTCTGCTTTGCTTTATAAAAAAAGCATAAGCAGAATCAGTTCCAAACACGCTGTCATTGATAGAAGTATTCCGAGCATAACATTTAATTGCCTATCCATGATGAGTCTATCACCAATCACCATTCATAACATCGAATAATTGAAGAATGTAAAGAAGAAAAAGTATTTAGTGTACACGGCTTAACTAGACAGTAATTTTGAAGAGTAAAATTAGAGACCATTTGGCAACACGGTTTTTCTGTTTTTCTGTTTATCAGGCTTATCAGCCAACTTTTTCACAAACACGTAAATTTTACTTTTGCGCGCTGAATTGTGTAATAAGCAGAAAAGTAAGTTAGAGTTACTTTTCTGATTGTATTGGCTGAAGTTACTGCAGATGACTATTTTAACTATTTTACATATAATTTTTTCTTTATTTTATTAATAAAATATATTTCAAAAATATTTTTTATTAAATCAGCAGAATCAGCCAATGCAGTCACTTCAGCCAAAACTTCATAAATTTCAACAGAATCAACCAAAATCAGCCGATTTTCATGCTACAAAACGAGCTCTTAAAAAATAAATAGTGATAAACAAATTGTTGAAAGAAAACCAAACATCGTCTCCAATCCCCCACACTCCAACAGGCCACAACCCACCGGCAAGCCATTAGAGGCTATAAGGTGTCAAGATTACTAATTTTATACAGTTACCCAAGTTCTAACAATTTGTGAAAGTAGTCATCTCCAACTAAGCAATGAGATCTCCGGGCTTTTTATTTTATATACTTCGGTCGGTGTCAAAACAACTTCACACTTTCCTTTTTTGGTAATTGGTATGTCCAAAATAAACTTCACACTTCTATTTTTTGACAATTTTTTTATATAAAGTTATCTCTATACCCTTACTTTATATCTACTTTACACCTACTTTCTCTCTATCACTACTTTTTATCTACTTTGGGGGGACATAATGAGAAAGTCAATACAAAAAAAGATAGATTCTATGGTACCCATAAGGTATCATACCTTTGTCCATATGAACCAATAAGAATGTTGCAGTTGAATTATTTAAATCAAAATTAAAAATGATATAATGATGTAGACCAATCAAATGAATGCTAGGTACGGTACCCCAGTTTTTAAATGGGTACCGGAGTTGTCACCTACAAAAAATTCCACTTTCTTGAAAACCACAAAGTCAAACAATGAAGTTCTATTGGGACCGGAGGGAGTAATAAGCAAGCAGACAAAAAACAATACCTCCAAGTAAGATTTAGTTACTGATGATAAAATAATTCTAGCATAATTATAATGTCATTACAAACCCTTTAACGATTGACGAAAGATCAATGTCAGAGTACAATATTTATTGTATACAACAAAACAAGACGGAGAAAAGGCAACAACACAAACCCAAAATGCAAATAACAACAGGGTACCTTTAAAAACAAAAATGAGACGTGGGTACTTGTTAATGTCCATCAAATTCTCTTCCAACACAAGATTACTGATCATCACCTGGCCCCATTAATATAAGTGGTTCAAAGTTTCGATTGTAGTAAAAGTTTTAGCAGCTTACTAGGCCATGCCAAGAAGTGCATCTAATTATCGATCAAACAGATAGCTCGGTCCGGGAGATGAGAATGCCATCAGTATCTGCGTACAGCCACTCTCCGTCACAGATTCTGGTCCCACCCAAGGAAATTGGGACGTGCTTCTCCCCATTACCCTTCTTATTGGCTTTCATCGGATGGGAAGCCAGAGCTCTCACCCCGATATCACATCCGTTGATCTCATCAACATCCCTTATGCATCCGTTGACCACAATCCCGGCCCATCCATTGTTTTGGGCTTGCACTACAGGGTTGCCACCCAATATTGCACACCTCAAACTGCCACCCCCGTCAACCACCAAAACTCTTCCATTACCTTTCTCCTCGAGAAACTCGCGGATCAAAACGTTGTCTTCAAACACTTTCAGGGTAACGATTGGGCCGGAGAAAACTTGGCGCCTTCCATATATCTGGAAAATTGGCTGGAGAGCACGGAGCTCCCCACCCACAATCAGTTGCGGATTTGCATCACATACTTCTGCAGTGGTTACCAAGGCCATGCTTTGGAGAACAAGCTGGTGAAATATTTAAAGGAAAACAAAAAAAGAAGCTTGATTAGAAAGGCATCACAAAATGTATTTTTTACTTTTCTTTTTTATAAAATCTGTGTCCAGAACCTATCGGTCCGAATAACCCCTCAGTCCCTGCTGACAATGGCAGGGTAAACCTCCAGTAACCCTCCTAGGGAGTCTAACTCGAGTGTAAACATCTTACTATACACAAAAAGGAGTTAAACATATAAGGCCATAAATAAATAAATGCAGTGTGTTGAGAGTTAATATGACTAAATGAGGCGTTTCAAAAGCCAACTATTTCCGGCCCAAGTATGTTCAAAAGTCATTCACCATATGAAGAATAAGAAACCGTAACCTGTCTAATTAGGATTTTTTAATATTAGAAAAATCATCAAGCTATATATAAGTATATTATTAAAACTGAGATTTTTATAACTTATATTACACATTCATTAATTTATATCTTAAAATAATAATTCGGAATTATCTAGATATAAAATATTGAAGGGGAGTCTTGACGCACCGGTTAAGGTGTTGTTGTGTGACCGAGAGGTCACGGGTTCATGTCTTGGGAGCGGCCTCTTGTCAAAAATTGACAGGGGAAGACTTGCTCCTTATAAACCCTTGTGGTGGGACTCTTCCCTGGACCCACACCTTGAGGGATACCTTTGTGCACCGGGCTGCCCTTCATCACTATGCCTACATCACATTGATTATGTGGGGAAAAAATCTAATAATATATACTGTAACAAAAAAGATATCTTCCTGTGCACTGGCAGAACATTCCTATCTTGATATATACTCCTTATATATGTTTTAGATTCCACAGAAAAAACATGATCCGGCTGTCTATTGGTTAGTGGTTACCCTATGCAACTTCAATTAATATAGTTGTTGCTTAGTGGCTCAAGAAATTCGAGAGATACAACTTGCACTCAGCCATGGTTCACATCACCCCAGAGTTAAAGTCTTGTGTAACATAAAAACACTACAAATAGTCATCAAAGTTGGGACTCAATTCCAGAATCTCAGTTGCTGTGACGCCTGTGAGCATGTTGCTTGGTTTGTTTTTCAGTGTTTACCCAAGTAGTATTGTTCAGAAAGAACATACAATGAATTACATATGACGAAACAAAAATGAAGATGTCCAACGATATTAAGTGAGATCAGTCTATAATACTCCCTCCGTCCCATAAATTCCCACTTTCCTTTTTGGGCTGTCTCAAAAAATAGTTCTCATTTCCCTTTTTGGAAAGCATTGTGTGGCTACCATTCATTTACCCTTTTCTTACCCAACCACAACCATACATTTCCACTTTATTCCACTTTCTTAAACTCTGATTTAAATCAGAATGGGAACTATTTTATGGGACGGAGGTAATACTTTTTACCTTATCCCGTTAGTTATTTATTTACTTAATGTATAAGTGTATTACATGTATTATAACTGCAGTTTTTTAAACACCAGTACTTGGAGCATATATGCTACTAAGTTTTACTTTAGTATACCTCATAGAAAGGCTTCATAGTTTTTGTAAACACCACTTACTATCCTTAATACACATGAGTCTAGAATTATGAATACAAATATTCTAATAAATTGTGTACAAACTATTCGGCTATTCCCATTTTAGCACTACGCTCGTCTATTTTAATCCGCTTCACATAGTTTCAGCATCATATTAACTTTTCAGTTATAAGTTTCCCATATATCACTTCACATTCTCATATGGAACAACCAAAATTCAAAACCAAGAAAGTTATGCTTAAAGCATTGTTAGAAAAGAGTCTTATATTAGACTCCAGGAGTTTGTTGGGATATCTTCTTTAATTACTTTTCAAATCTTAAGAGAGCCAATATACATAAATATTTTGCTTCATTTTCATCAATATCATGTATACAATTACACTTCATGAGATGAGGTAAATCCGTAAATACTTGAACCAAATGTGAGGAAAGTTACAAAGAGTGCTACGTCAATGTGGATGGCTATTGTTTTTAGGCTTAAATGTGTTTTTAGAATCATAGCACAAAACTAGTAATTCACCAAAATTTAATCTTTTCTTAAGTAGATGTCTTGATCAACAGAATGATAAGCCAAAACAGCTGCCAAGATTCAATTTGAACAGCTTCTACTATACTTCTTCAATCCCAAAACTACATAACGTATTCAAAATAGAACAACCACAGAACAATAATATATGTGATCAAGAGTATAAACAAATTGCAAAAGAAAAGGATAACAAGAACGAGCTCACTAGGAAACAAAAAATTCAAGAATGGAAGAGTAAGATTATCGAGAGAGAAAATACAGGGGAAGGGCTCGAAATCTTACTGGAGAGATCTGAAGCGCTTAGTACAGATAGAAGAAGAATCGAGGTCAAACCGCGAGAGAGGAGACGATAAATAAACGAGGGAGCAGAAGATATTTTCTTTTTTTTCTCTTTTTTTTTTAGGAAACTAGTAGGGATGCCAAAAAAACTCGACTCGCAGTGACCCGCCCGAGACATTTGGGGCGGGTCTGGCCCGCCCCGTCTTCCAAATGGGTGGGTCCGCCCCGCCTATACAATGGGGCGGGTTCGGGTATTAGTACTGACCCGTGCCGCCCCGACCCGATCCGCTCAGTACATAAGCATACATATTTTTTCTTAAATTATACTACAAATATACTTCAACATACATGCGTGTATACAGTAAATCATAAATTCTTTGATCTTATAATATATTAATACATATATTAGAATGAGATGATCAATGTCTTCTTTATATATAGCATTTTAATACATATGTTCAATTATTAGTATAATTAAATAGATTAATTATTCAAGTCTGAGTAATTTTTCCTTAATTTTTGAATTTTTTAGGGTATCATGAATTTGATTTAATATATTGATTTTTAATTATTATTCAAAGATAAACTTTACGTAGATTCAATTGGTAACAACTTCCCACAAATAAAAATGCATACTAGCTAATTAGGTTACGGCAGGGCGGGGCGGGGCGGGTCATGGGTCAACAAGTTTGGATCCGTGCAAGTCACGGGGCGGGTCTGGATCTTGCGGTATCTGCCCCACCCCGACCCATTGCCATGCCTAGAAACTAGCTTAAATTATGGTAACAGAAGGTTAAGCAACTTACAAGATGACAACAAGTCTTTTGTCTGTCATCCGCTCTAGAAATCAGACTTGGGGTATCTACATCCATAGATTATTTTTTAGATCATTTTGATGATGTGGAAGATCTTTTTGGGGATCATGGACGAGGAGTTGAGATTATTTTATGAGATTATTTGATAAAATAATTTGGTATCAAATTCTAAAGCAGAATTATTTTGAGATTATTTCCAACTTCTAGGCATATACGCATAATTATGGTGATGACTAACTTTGTAGTTCGTGCATGCTCATGCTCCTATCCAAGGTAAATTAAGATCATGAATGAGGAGAAATTTATTGGTTTGGAGATTATTTGAGATTATCTTATGTGGAAGTGACATGACAATAACAAGACATGAAAAATCGTAAAGTTGAAGATCATCAATGTGGATGCTCTTAGAATTAGCCTGTTTTCTTTTAGACTGTTTTCAGTCCCAGATCAGACCAGACCAGACTTAAACAGATCAGACCAGATCAGACCAGACTTCCATAGTTATAAAATACACAGAGACCAGACGTTTAACATACCAGACTTAAATAGACCAGACCAGACCAACAAATTTCAGTCCAAAAGAAAACATCCTTAATTACCATAGAAGTAATATAATCCGTTGATCCCGCTTTGGGCTTGACTGAGCCAATGACTTGCAGACCAAACTCCACATCAACTGTCCTAGGCTCTACAGTGTTTTTGCCGGAAAACACGGCACAACCAAAACACAGTAAAGATTCAAATAAAATGGAAACATGAAGAAATATAAATAAGCAAAATAAAATTCTTGAACTCTAGCACCTCGTTCAACCCATTGTGGTGGTTCAGGAGGAGGTCGGACTATCGCTATGATTGTTGACGCACAAAAGTGGTTTTCCATTGGCTCGGCCGCCTCTTAATCATCATCATCGATCACCAGTTCGTACGGTGCTTCACTGATGTCCAGGCCAACATACTTCTCGATCAGTTTATCCACCGGGCCCTCCTCCTCTCTAGACGCTTCTCCTCCTTCCTTCCTCGGCTTCCATAGAGTTTTCTGCATTGACCACCACAGCGAGGTATCGATACAAGTCTATTGTCTGCGAGCGATTTCCTTTCTCTACTAAAAAAAAGGCCGTCGCACCAAAGACGGCGAAACTCGAACCCTAATGCAAGGGAGACATCCGCAGGGGCATCTAAACATTTTCTTTTTCTCTTTTTATTAAATAAAACACTAATAAATCGGTTTGACGTTTATGGCAAAAATGCAATAAACCTGCTTCTCATGTACTTAACTCGTATCTTTATCCCATTTTACTTCTTTTGATTTGTCTACAAAGTTTGTCTCATAATATATTTGATAATATTTGAGTGATTACAATTCATTCTTACTTGCTCACATTTAATCAATCTAATATCAATCACACAATTTTATCTTTCTTAATAACTGAATCACTCTCCTTTTTCTCAATCTTAGAGGACAGAGGTAGTACATTTTATGTACACATATCTAAATATGTTATTCTTGTTTGTAAATAGTATGTTCACTAATAAGATAAAACATACTTATAAAAATCAATTAATTGAACAAGTGCAAATTTTGATTTTTATAAGAATTGCCACATGCATCGATTGCACCGTCACATTATAGGCACCTTTAGTTGTCACAACAGCCATTGATATACACACATAGCCCATCTGCCTAAAGATTGACATTTATCTTATTTGCCATGTGATCTTCAGTTGAGAATTCTCCCGCATGATCGTCTTGGTCAAGGGTCGTCAATGAGATTGGATCAGCGGCCTGAGAATTTGGATGGGGTACCTACGCAACAATGAAAGATCACTCTATCAAGCGATGAAATGAACCTAGATGATTGTGTTGTACGACGGTACATGATGTGAGGTTTGCCAAATAGTAAAAGATGATTGAGTTTATATGCTATAACTTTATTACATGTAGTAGTTGTAAGAAAATGAAAATATGAATCGCATGAAGAAGTTTCTTTAGACTACATTATTAGTGGTGTTGAACTGTCGATAGTGTGACCCTCTTCATCATATATATAAATCTTCAACTCACTACTTGAGGTAATCGTTGACATGACCGCGTTCAAAAACATATTTTGAAAGATATATGCTCACGATTCACATGATGCAGAGATTGTCCTTGACTTTTATCCAAATGAAATGGTGATCGGGAATGACATGCGTTGAAATTTGAAAGTAATTATGCTATGTGGGATCAAAACATTTAATCAATTTTTTTTTATTGTGACATGATTTTCTGCACGTTAACAATGGGAATATGTTCAAACATTGGTGTAATGGTGTAATGGAACTTATTCCATGTTTTTTCTTAATGGATGAGGTTTTGCATCCTTCCCAATATTTTTGAAAATTTATTTTTTTGTTAGCGTCTTTAAAGTTTGAAACCGTTTCAAACGAATTTCAATAACTTCAATTTAATGAATCAAATATATAATTTGATCTCCATTTTATACATAATTACACTTTAAATTAGTTCTAATTACATAATTTAATATAATTCATTTTTTATTGACATAATTTTAATAACGAATACTCCGTATTTATTTCTAAAAAAGAAAATTATATCAAGAGTAATCTTCCAGTCAGAAAGGCCTGACCAGAACCGCCGTCTGGACGGCGGCGTTTGGGGCCCTTCCTGGTCGATTTTTTTGATGAATTCTTTTATGTTATGTTCTTCATCAAGTTCAGTTTATCCAGAAAAATTTCAGCTAAAAATTCAATCGGGAAGACCATCAAATAATTTTTGGAAGATAACTGCACCCAAAATATACGTATAAAACGCAGTGAACTTCCAAAAATTATTTGACAATCTTTCTGATTGAATTTTTAGCTGAAATATTTTGTGAATAAAGTAGACTTGACGAAGAACATTCCATAAATTCGATCGGGAAGAGGCCTCATGGTTCATGTCCGGAATTTTACATATAAAATTTTACTTAAAATCACCCTGCTCAGTTCAGTAGGCGCTCATCTATAACGAGCTCGCACATCAAATGCTCGTTGTTCCTAATGGAAGATGGAGTCTCAAAATAAGATAGAAATAAATCAAAATTGCAGCAGTGAAGGAAGAAAAGGTGGGAAAAAGTAGAGATGGCGAAGAGAATTGATATGGCCTAGGGTGTTAGTTGGGAAAAAGTAAGTTTAATAAGGTTATTTTTGTCGAAAAAAGGTGAGCAAAAAAGGTGCGCAAACTAATAACACATTAACACCCTTTGTTAATTAACGTCACTGGTATGGTTGCTAACGACCGTACACCGAACAAAAGGAAAAGGAAAATGCCATTATACTCCGTATATTTGTTATTATATGTATAATAAAGCAAAAAACTGTGTACCCAGGCAGGAACGAGAAGAGAACACTGAGATCAGAGAAAGAGGGCTATGGCTTCCTTTAGCGTCCCTCCGGTGCTAACTTCCCCTCGTGACGATGCTATGCATCTTTATAAAGCTTTCAAGGGTACTTTTTCATTCTAGGGTTTGGATTTCTTAAAAGCTATTTACGATTCTTTTCTTTCCCTTTCCTGTTATATATTTCCAATTTAAATGTTTCCCTAACTTTTGTGCGCATTTATGTGTCGTAATTCATACATGCTCCCTGTATCCCTTTATGGAAGTTACACTAGCTATTTTCGGGTCTATTGAATTCTCTTTTAGCTACACATATTCATATTTAAGAACTTTTGTCCTAGTTTTAAATATATGCATTTTAATTATTATTATTATTATTAGTTTATAGATTAGCAGGAGAGAGTTAAATTTTGTCCAATAACTTCTTAATCCAACATGTACTAAGTAATAAGCACTTGCTGGAATCAATTTACCCTTCTGATACAAGTTGCAACATGATAGACAGATCTTGGTGAGTTTATCTCATAGTTCTTGGATGCTTGAAGTTAGTTTACAAAATTGCATCCAAACATTTTACAAGTCCCCCAGATATTTTTTTTCATCCACAGTACATATTATCATCATTTTAAGATGCTCGAACATGGTATAATGTTCATCCTGAAATTACCAGCATGTTTATTGTATTAAATTTTGCAACATTAGTTGGATGAGAATATGTGTGGAGGATTGCTATCTTTTTATTTTTTTTAACTCTAATTTCATATGTCGATTCATGTTAGCTGACCCCAAATTTTTTGGAGCAAGGCTTGGCTGTTGTTGTATAAGTTGGTTCGAAAGAAAGTTGAAGAGAGTTGTATAAAAAATCACTGTCTAGTTCCGGTGGGGTTAACTTTATGTAGATGTATTCTACCAACCGTCTACATGAGAGCTGAACAATAACTTTGTCATTTAGATTCTCATCTGTATAGTTGATGGAGAAACTTCACATGAGATTAACTCCACTCTGTGAATCCAAAAATACATGATTTAAATTAAGAGATACGGAGTATTAATTATCTTATGTAACACTTATACTTAGGGATAAATTATCTAAACAATATCAACCTTCCCATTCTCTATCTTCCAAATCCCTTCAACCAAACAAGAACTAATGATAGTCTAATATAAATTGTAAATTTGTAATCACCTAATTACCTTCTATCTGCCCCAGGTTTTGGGTGCGACACTACAGCGGTTATCAATATCCTCGCACATAGGGATGCTTCACAGCGTGGTCTTATCCAGCAGGAGTATAGAGCTATGTACTCTGAGGAGCTCCACAAGCGCTTGTCTTCCGAGCTTAGTGGTGATGTTAAGGTAAACAGTGAAACGGAACATATCTTTTGTCATTTGACCATTTCTCTTCAACTGATTCTTTTAACACTAATCCCTTGTTTAGACTAAAAGACAGAGGGGTGAGTGGGGGTGGGGTTAGACTCTCCCAGTTTTTTTGCGCAGTGTAAGAGTAAAATACTAGGAGGTGGTGAATCGCGCAGTGTTTTCAATCCCGGATAGCGGCGAGCCCCAAAAACGCTATAACGGTATAGCGGATAGCGGAATGACCGCTATTTAGACTACTTACAAATATAATAGATAAGTAACTCCTGGAAGCATATACTCCGTGTAATACATTACATACACATTTTGAATTCAAGTCATAACATTTATATATCCTAAATTACTTATAAATACACTTTAGTTTTATGAGCAAAACTAAGATGCTATTAATGACAGTAGACTCCGTACGATGTTATAAAGAACTTTGTTGTACAAGAAGAATAATGAGAAGAAGAAAAGAGGACTGCAACAAAGGTTAATTTTCTTGTAAAAGATGTTGCAGCAGAAGTAGAAGAATGAAAGAACTCAAGAAGATGAAGCAGCAGATTCTACCAGTGGAAAGAAGCCAAGAGGGGTGCAAAGGTTGTCGTTCTTGAAGGTGATGTCATCGCAGAGCAGAAAGAATAAGATACGTTTGTATGTGTTTGCACTTCTACGCACGTGCAGAAGGGTTTTAAGTGATTAATATCTTATTTTAAAAGACAAAATTACCCTTCTACCTCAACATGAAGTAAATAATACGTAGATAATACGCAGATCCTTCCGTCGATCGATTGTGCCGCTATAGCGTCCGCCTTCATCGGAATAGCGTCCGCCTTCATCGGAATAGCGTGCCTGCTAATGCGGCCGCTATATCCGCTACACCCAAACGCGACGCTACAGGTACTCTGGTAGCGCCAATCTTGACCTGCGCTCCGCAATACCGCTATAGCGCGCGATAGCGCCGCTATTAACATCACTGGAATCGCGTATAAAAAATGAAAAAGGAAGAGAGAGCAGATATAACAGTAGCAAAAGTAATACTTTAGAATAATTTTTATGTTAAAGGAAAGGTGAAACAAATTATGAAATAAAATAACAGTCTCAAAATATTCCAAATTGGGGGGTGAAATATGAGAACTTTGGAGGATTTATAGTTCCTCCACTCCCTCCCTCCCTAAGCCTCCCAACCAAACACCCATGACTCCACTGTTTTTGCATCATCTCCAAATCCTCTAACCAAACAACTAAACAAGATCTAAATGTAACTGTGAAACTTATCTGTTATCACCATTACACAAGAGCTAAGAAAGCAAACGTGCTAAGTTTCATCATATATTTGTTTTATGCACTATCATCTTCTTTATGCATTTTCCATGAATTCAATTTTCATATTTTAATCGGTCAGAGAGCAGTTTTACTTTGGGTGGCTGACCCGGCAGGACGAGATGCAACCATAATCAAGCAGAGTTTGCATGAAGCCAAAGATCTCAAGGCCGCGACCGAAGTGATATGTTCACGGATTCCATCTCAGCTTCAATACCTTAAACAAGTCTATCACTCAATGTTTGGCCTTTACCTTGAGCATGATATTGAAAACCATATGACTGGGGATCACAAAAAGGTTTGTCTTCACTCCCTTTTCATCCATGTGAACGGTTAGCTCAAAGTGAGTAGACGATTTTTGAGTGAGTATGGCTACATGTTTGAAACCCTGTGGGATACATATTCGATCATTGCATTTTTCTAACTGACTTGGATGGATGTGTAAGATTATGGCATGTTCTCGATTCCATGCCCTATTGTTTTTTTAACCCTTTTTCAATTATCTCTAATATATTTATGTGTTTGTAGTATCCTTCTAACAATTGCAGAGATTCTTCATGTTGAACTTTCATAAAAAAGACAAATCCTGAAGGCATATTACCAAAATTACCAATGATGAAAATATACTGATATTACCGAAAATTTCACCAAAACATTTGTATTTTGAGGTGTACGATATGGATCTTGGGATACAGAAATTTCTCTATAATCGAGAAAATGTATGAAAGAGTAAAAAAAGTATGTATAAAAAGTAATTTTCAAGAAAACCTGTAACATGTCGAGAAATATCAAGTACAAAAGCATATGTAGTAGTAGTAATAATAATTAGTATTATTATTCCTACTAGGACAATAATAATCATCATATTACTATTACACTCCCTCCGTATCACATTAAGTGTCTCACTTTCCTTTTTAGGTCGCATCAAAATAAGTGTCTTACTTCCATTTTTAGAAATAAATCCACTCCAAAAGCAACTACAATACACTTTAATAAAGTAAACCGTACTGTTACAGTACCAAAAATCTCCTACTTTTTCAAAAATCTCCTACTTTTTCAAAAATCTCCTACTTTTTCAAAAATCTCCTACTGGGACACTTATTCTAATACGGAGGGTGTATGAATTATATCATTATGGCAATATTATTATTGGTGTTGCTATTATTTTGTAGTATAACTATAATAGCAACAATAATTATTAATATAATATCATAATCATTAGTTCATTACTATCATTATGGTGACGTATTATTGTTGCTATATTACTACTACAACTATTATTATTACTATTACTAAAATACAAAGTATTTATCATTGTTATTATTACTACGGAGTATTATTTGTAGTTGGTACTAGCATACGTGAGCGCCCCTCGATATGATGGCCCAGAAGTTGACCCAGCTGCAGTGCAACATGATGCTAAAACTCTTTATAAGGCAGGTGAAAAAAGGCTTGGGACTGATGAGAAGAAATTCATACAGATATTCTCTGAAAGAAGCAGGGCACATTTGGCTGCAGTCATATCTGCTTATCATGTCTTGTGTGATCACTCATTGAAAAAGGTGAGAAACTGACATTGCCTGAGTTGATGATTTTTAACTGTCTAATGCCTATCAACAACTGATACCGTCTAAAATTTTTCACAGGCGGTTAAAAGTGAAACCTCAGGGCTTTTTGAGTTTGCCCTCTTGACTATTTTACAGTGTGCTCAGAATCCGGCAAAATACTTTGCTAAGGTATGCTGCTTGCATGAAAATTTCATTTTCTGCAATAAAGAATCTAGGGTAGTGTCAAAACTCAAAAGAATACATACAATGTAATTGGGAAAATGACTATCTTGGTCCTTGAGTCACTGTCCTAGCCCCCATTGTGACCTTCAATGTAGTGAAAAAAGCTAGGGTTAGACAAGACCATATGATATAGGGCGAGACCTGAGCAGGGAAAGAACATAGTCGGACAAGGATCACATATGTTTTGTTCAAAGGGGATTGAATACTCATGCTCCTTGACTTTGTTAAAGGCTTAATTTGGTTGTTGATTGCGCAATTTGGACATAATTTAGTTCTAAATAAGAGAAGCATTTTGTCAGTTCGCTAAATGTATGCTCAACTTAGGACTCGACTATGTAGTTTATACCCGATATAGACCATGAGGGGTTCGAATACCCCTTCAAATAACAGTAAAACATGCCTGAAATATGAGTTCGGTCTAAATTGCACAGATGAAGACCTAAATGAGTCCACTTGTAAGTCAAAGACCTAATTGAATAATAGCAACTAGTGGAGGGACTTAATCTGGCATTAACTCTAATGAGAATGCATATTCTCTTCCGGTCTGTTTCATGTTTTAAGTATACATCTGTGAATTTCAACAGACATTGCGAAAGGCAATGAAAGGAATGGGGACAGATGATACCACACTTGTGAGGGTAATTGTGACACGAGCTGAGGTCGACTTGCTGTATATCAAAGCAGAATACCACAAGAAATACAAGAAATCTTTGCATGATGCGATTCATTCAGAAACTTCTGGCCACTATCGTGCATTTCTTCTCTTGCTTTTAGGTCCCCCCAATCATTAGCAGAACTTCTTGCATGACACTGTGCCCACGCTTCTACTAAGGTTTTATTATGTATAATAATCAGACACACATGGCACTGCCTACATTGTATCTTATTACTGAAAATGCATGTCTGCCAAATTATTAAGTTGCGGATCAAACATGTCTGTGCGAAGAAATAGACATAGGCCTAGATCTGTCTGTTACACCAACCTATGTCTCATTCATTTGCCCATAACATAGACATAGACATATGTTGCCAAATTACACTTCTCTGTGCTGGATATTATTCACACATACATGTTTTATCCGTGACTAGTTTTGGAGACATTGTTTGTATGGAAGGGTGTACAAAATACAGCATTTTTTATCCTAAAAAAGCGTTCATTACGAAATAAAAGAATGTTTCAAAATAGTGTTGCTTATATTTTATGGGCATGCCAATTGTTGTCGTTGCCAATTTCATGGAGAAAATGTGTTAACTACTACTGTCTCAATATTAATTTCTCATTAGTTCTATGCCTCCATATAGTATATACCCTTCGCATTTCTCCAAGTGTACACATGGACCCTTATTTATTCATCGAATTTGAACACAATAAAGTGATAAACACGTTACTTTTTAACTCATGTATTTTGTCTTTGTAATAGTTTTTTTTTTGAAAATTTGTCTTTGTAATAGTTATATCCTAATTATGTCATATATGGTACTCCGTGCTTTTTATTTTTTATATTAAACTAGTTATTTGTAATTTGACTTTAATGGATATACCATAATTGTTTGAATACGAAACGAGCATTTAAAATTTTAGGAAACTTTGTCAAGATTTGTGTTCTGCAACATCTAAAAGTAAGTCTTACAATTTTTTAAAAAGTGAAAAAATGATATGTATATTACTTATAGTTTCCCTGGGAAAAAAATATGATTAGTCATGATCTTGGACAAAAATATTACTAGTCATTTTGTACGAGTAATTGAACAAGAGTCGTTATAGTGTATTATAGAGTGACAAGTCAATGGTAGATGATGAGTCACTGAGAATTAGTCACTGAATATGTCATTATTTGGAAATTTTTAATGTAATTCATATTTTTGTCTTTTGCATTTAATTTATTAATATTTATGGGGAAAAAGCCTTAAAAATATCCCTTTAACTTGTCAATTTTATACTCTATAGTCTATAGGCCAAATTAGTTAATTTTTGTTATTCCGTAGAGTTTACGTTATACTAAATATAATTATTTACGTTAGTGTTATGCGAAGCAAATAATGTTTCATATTTGAAAAAATATACCCCGTACACAAAAATAGGGAAAATAAGTAAAATCTAATGATTTTGGCAACTTGAGAGTTTCAGTTACGGATAATCGCATCCACCTGCAACTCTGCAAGGTTGCAACTGGATATAGAAACATTAAGAGCTGTGGGAAATTACCACAGTAACATATGTAACAAATACTTCGTTAAATGTGGCAAATATGGCACTTTTATTAAATGTTTATACTTTTATCTGTATTTATTTACCACAGCGACAACCAGGGAGGTCAAAACAAGTTGGAAATTACCGGTACAATACAAGATTTCATTAAACTCCGCCATGAGACCATTTTTTGGTATCATGCATGTTCCAAGTCAGGATAAATAAGGATGGTGTTGTGATAGGTGCGTGCAGCCAACAGTATCACTTAGTCATATCACATGACATGAATCAAAATATGAAGGCCCAAATAGACGTGTGTTAGGGGAGTCCAAAGCCATATGCTTCTTCTTGGGTTGGATGACAATCATGAGAGTATGGTTTTGGAGAGAGCAAAGTGGAGGGCTTTGGATCCGAAGTCATATCGATTCATGTTAGCCAACCCCAATATCTTTTGGGACCAAGACTTGAATGTTGCTGTAACTTGTAATACAAGATTTCATTAAAAAATCAATCAAATTCTCGAACTTTGTAAAAACGTTCAATTGAGTACATTTGCAGGTTACTTTCATGTCAGCGGGTCTCCTGCATACATGACGCACATGTGCACCATGTCATCAACAAATGGCTGACTGGACGTCCACATGTGTGCCAAGTTAACAAAATTATTGCCGATTGGGCTGCCACATGTGCGCCACATCAACGGGTGACCTGCTGACATGACAAGTAACCTGCAAATGTACTCAATTGAATGTTTTTACAAAGTTCGGGAATTTGATTGATTTGGTTAAAAGTTCGAGGACCTAATTAACTTTTTCATGAAAGTACAAAGACCAAATTGACAATTTTCCCTGACATTAAATATGCAAGTTTGAGATGTTTACATCACACTTCTTAAAAGGCCAGCGAATTTAATTTATTTTGTCCTATAAAAAAGAATGACACTTCATCAATTCTAAAACTGATCGGATGATTGTTTGAAAAAAGGAAAATGCTATGTGTACACAGCATTGTACACACCACCCTACACATCATAAAAAGCCCACCACCCTCCCTTTTCTAACCCATTTAACCCCCCACCCTCTCTCCTCCATTCCAAACATAACCCGCTGCGCAGGGAACGATTTGTCTGTCCCATTATTTTCGAGTTGTCTGTGATCTCTTCCTTCTCTAAAGTGGTGGTCTTCTCTGTTACCGGTGGTGATCGAGTGTGTATGGATGCGACGACGAACGCCATGGAAGCTAATAACATGCATCGCGGAGACGACGAAGCGGGCCTGGGGTGGATATGGGAGGATATTTTCGGCCCGAGTCCCGCTAACACTCCAGCTGTGCTGGAAGAGTGTGCACAAGCGACGGAGGGAGGGATGCAAGATCATAAAGAAGACACGACAGAGAAGATACGACGGAGGGAAGGTGTTGAACACACTCCGGCTGCCATGCAAGGCGATGAAGGGTTACCGGATGGTAACACTGTGGAGGCTAAGCAAGGTAGGTGATTACGTAGTGTCCTTTCTTCATGGTTGTTATGTTGTGGTGTTATGAAGCTTCACAAAACACGGACAAATGATATTGTCTGTTTTTGTATGTAGACAATTACAAATGTCTGTGTGTAGACATTTATGTATTATGAAATATGGGAACACTATGAAGTTCATAGGCTTCTTTTAGAATGTGGGTATAATACGTAGAGCGTTTTTAGAATGTCATTATAATACTATTTGGTTTGTCTGTATTTCATTTTATAATGTCTGTATTTAATAATATTTTATTCATATGTTCTTGTAATTTGTTTGGTCATTATCTGAACTTGTCTGTATTTCATTTAATACTATCTGCATTTTATAATATTTTATTCATATGCTCTTCTAATTTGTTTGATCATTCTTTGAACTTGTCTGTATTTCATTTGATACTGTCTGCATTTTATAATTTTTTTATTCATTTTTTCTTGTAATTGGTTTGATCATTCTTTGAACTTGTCTGTATTTCATTTGATATTGTCTGCATTTTATAATCTTTTATTCATTTGTTCTTCTAATTGGTTTGATCATTCTTTGAACTTGTCTGTATTGCATTTACTAATGTCTGCATGTATTAATATTTAATTCATTTGTTCTAGTCAGAGGTTTGATCATTCTTTGAACTTGTCTGTATTTCATTTGATACTGTCTGCATTTTATAATCTTTTATTCATTTGTTCTTCTAATTGGTTTGATCATTCTTTGAACTTGTCTGTATTGCATTTAATAATGTCTGAATTTCATAATCTTTTACTCATTTGTTCTAGTATTGTCTGTATTATATTTTATAATATCTGTATTTAATATTATTATATTCATTTGTTATTTGTAAATGGTTTGATTTTGGTTTAAAGTTGATGAAGTAGTTTGTCTGTATAGTATTGATGAATAATGTCTGTATTTATATAAATTAGTCTGTGTATACATATTCATTAGTCTGTGTATAAATTCACAGATGCATATGCACAGGAAGACGAGGAAGAAGATGTTAGTGTGGTTGTTCCGGAAGTGGGCATGAAGTTTGGAAGCACATACGCGGTGTATGAGTTTTACAAAAAATATGGTAGAACTGTAGGATTCCCGGTTAGAAAAAGAACATCTACCAAGGATAGATCCAAGGGTGATGTAGTGTCAATAGTGATATAGTGTTCACGGGCGGGAAGTAGAGGTAGCAAGGCACTAAACTGTTTGAAACCTCAAGCTTCAATGCAAACATCTTGTATGGCAAAAATTAGAGCACGCACTACTTATGATGGCTCATGGGAACTTTCAAAAGTGTTTTTAGAACATAATCACCCCATGAGTCTCACAAAATCTAGACTATTTCGTTGTTATAGAAAGTTGACATCAAAAGCGATGAGACAACTTGCGATTAATGAAGTTGCGAGAATTCCACTTAACAAGAGCTGGGGGGGGGGGGGGGGGTATGATGCCCTACCTTTTATTGAAAAGGATTGTAGGAATTATATTGGAAAAGTTAGGGAACTTAGGCTAGGAAGTGGTGATGCCATTGCTATACAAGCTTTTTTTTTCTTCTAAAATGCAAGCACAATGTCCCGGTTTCTTCTTTAGTGTTGACTTATATGACGACTCCCGCTTGAGAAATGTGTTTTGGGCGGATAATAGAAGTAGATATGCATACAAAAGTTTTGGAGATGTCATCACCTTTGACACAACCTATCTAACTAATCGATATGACATGCCATTTGCACCATTTGTGGGTGTTAATCATCATGGTGAAACTATATTATTTGGGTGTGGGTTAATCTCAAATGAAGATACACAAACTTTTGTTTGGCTCTTTAAAGCTTGGCTTGATTGCATGGAGGGTTGTGCTCCAAATGCAATTATAACCGATCAAGACCGGGCAATGCAAAATGCAATTCAAATTGTATTCCTGGAAACAAGGCACCGTTGGTGTTTGTGGCATATCATGAAAAAGTTACCTGAAAAAATGGGTGGGTTTGCGGACAAAGATCAAATCATGTTCAACATTCATGACCTAGTTTATGATTCACAGCACAATACAGAGTTTGAGACAGGTTGGGAAGCTATGCTCCAAAGGTATGATCTTCACCACGTGAATTTCATACTAATTTATTTTATTGGCATAATGTATTTTTTTGCATTCTCTGTATATAAAGTATATCGTCTGTGAAATATTATAATTTTTACCCCTTACAGACATTTATCTTTCTGTATTTGTCACTATTGTCTGTGTTTTAAGGTTGACGTTGGAACCATGTCAATTTCATACTAATTTATGTTATTGTCAGAATGGATTGTCTGTATATGTGGTATATCGTTTGTCGAATATTGTAATTTTTACCCCGCACAGACATTTATATTCTGTTTGTCTCACTATTGTTTGTGTTTTCAGGTTTTCTCTTCACCATGATGAATGGCTGGTCGTGATGTACAACGAACGTCATCGTTGGGTCCCGTGTTACTTGAAACCGTATTTTTGGGCAGGTATGTCAACCACTCAAAGAAGTGAAAGCATTAACGCCTTCTTTGATGAGTATGTTCATTCTAAAACTAGTCTCAAACAGTTTGTGGATCAATATGGGCGTGCTTTGAGAAAGAAGGTTGAAAACGAATTTCAAGCCGATGGCCTTTCTTTGACTAAAATGATTCCATGTGTTACGTCGTTCGCAATTGAAAAACAAGTGCAAGGTGTTTACACCATAGCCAAGTTCAAAGAGTTTCAAACCCAATTAGTTGATCAATTGTATTGTTATGTCATACCTATGATGGATGGTAAGACATATGAAGTCAAAGAGAATCGTGTCATTAATGGGTTTGATAAGAGTTGGACCTTCATGGTTGAGTATGATATTTCTACATCTAAAGGAATGTGTAGTTGCCACTTGTTCGAGTTTCGAGGCATTTTGTGTAGACATTTTCTTATGGTGGCACTAAGATATCAAGTCAAAGTGTTGCCTGATTCTTACATACTACCGAGGTGGCGTCGAGACATCAAAAGAGCATACACACGAGTGAAGATCAACTACGATGGGTGGATTACTACGGTCGAACAAGAAAGATTTGATAAATTGTGTACGACATTTGAGACCCTTGCAAACACCATTGCTGATGATCCCGAAAAATGCAAGAACGTAATGGTGTGGCTAGAACGGCAATTGGAACAACATAAACCCGCTCCTCCTTGTCATTCCTCTATATGTGGTGTGTTGACACCGTTACCGGTACCGGAAAGTAGTGTGCATGCGGAAGTACCACAACAAATTTATAACCCAAAGTCAGCAAAACGGAAAGGTGCTCCCAAGAAAAAATCGTTTGAAGGGGCCTCTGGAAAAGGAAAAATCCAAGTCAAAGGTATGCTGCCCTGCACTTTCATTGTTATTGTACAGACATTATTTATGCCTCCACAGACATTGTGCACATACGCACATACATTTATATTGTACATAAGATTCATTTTTTTTTCCAGCCAAGTGCGCACAATAAACGAACCAGAAAAGACATTGGTGGACAGGAGTACGCTGGAGAGGGGTTCACGTGACAGCCGTACACTGAAGAGGGATACGTTGGAGAGGGGTACCATGGTCAATATGATTTGGGTGTAGTCAACAATAGTATGACACTACAATATCAAGACGGTTTAGATTTAAATCTCACTCTCTTTTGAGACATTTACTTATTTTAAATACTTATATTTTAAATACATTTGAATGTTATGTATTTTTGTTTGGTGTAGTCAACATAGTTTATTTCCAACTGATTTGTTGCAAACGTCGAACACAGACAACATATCCACAAATACAGACACATACTATACTATGTGTAAACACAGACAGTGACCACCAAAATACAGACAATATTAATTATTCAGCATAGACAAATTCAGATTAAAAAATACAAACAAATACTATACTATGTGTAAACACAGAATATTAATTATTCACCAAAATACAGACAGTAATAATAATCATATCTATGTATGTATCCCAAAATACAAACAATACCATTGGTAAAAACAACTATACAAACAATATTATAGAATTACAGGTCTTCATACAAACTTTTATACAATGTTGCATGAATTGCTTTCCAAAGTACTACATTCAAAAAATACAACCTACACAGACAACCGCAAAAAATAACGGCCTACACAGACAGTTAACGGGGTCAAACAAAATGCATCTTAGTGTGTACTACAACCTACACAGACAACCGCAAAAAATACAGACATTCTTGTAGCTTCGCCACAGACAAAAAATATATGGAAAACACATTGTACCATTATTGTACAACATGGCGCGGCCATTATTGTACAAAATACTACATGTAACCACCACTATCTCAAAAAAACAATATAACCCCCAATGTATTTCTAATAATTACATATACAAAATATATACGTCATTAAACATAATTGTTCATCATCGCGTCTTATGCTTTGTCGTCTTTCACTTTCCATAGTCCATTAGCAAACTCACGTCTCTTTTTCGGCATATTGGCGTACTCACATCCAGGTATGAACGGGATGTCCAACATGAGGTGTTGTGCAAAACTCAATACCATAATTCCACAATCTCCACTACACATAACACAGACAATATGTATTAGATGCTATAGTCACATAAGGGAAAAAATGGGATGAATGGTTGTTTTACCCTCCCCGTTGTTGAGGGACAGCATCCACGGCAACAGCTTGCCACGGGTGGAGGTCGTCTGCCAAGTCCCCTTCTCTTTCCCATGTTATTACTCGTAGTAGGTGGGGGAGGCGTTGCATTAATTCTGAAATGCATGATAAGGTCCTTCCACTTTTCTAGGAGTCATACACTCTTACGCATTTACGGCGAAGGTCAATTTCCACCAACACCCAACGTATATAACAAACTACACAGACATCCCAGGGAACTAATATACACACTACACAGATATCTTAGTAACCAATTATAGAGAAGTGAAAAAAAACCACAAACGTATATAACAAACTGCACAGACATCTCAAACATTAATTCAAAGAAAAACATACATATGACCATAAAGACAACTCTAAAATACAGACTCGTATAAGAGGAAACAGACAACTCTCACAAACTTAGACATCTAAAAACGCCACACAGACAACTGAACATTACCATACATGCCACTCTCAATTCGTGTACAGACATGTGCATAGTGCATGTGCCATAAATAAATGCATGCAAACAACTCTAATATGCACAAACATATAAGAACTAACTACACAGACATCTTAAAATCACAAAAACAATTAAGAACACACTACACAGACATCTGAAAACCCAAAAACATGTAAGAACACACTCAAAACGGAATATACACACTCAAATTGGTAAGTCCAAACATGTTAAAAATCGCAGTACAGAAAATACAGTTTCACTCAAAACAAAAACACATTATACACTAAAAAATGGTAAAGAAATGGTAAACTTTAAACAAGTCATGCATGTCAATACCTCACTGAGAAACAACCAAGAACAAAAAAACCAGAAATAGAAGTGTTGGCCGTCCTCTGTCACTCCAAAATAAACTCAAAACAAGGTTAACAAAATTACCTTTGAGCCAATTCTGTCAATGAAGTGCGAACCATTTCCGATAAAGAGTGAAGTGGTGGCGGTATGACTTCTGGACTTCTGGATTTCTTGCAGACACCGGACGGGAGGGTGGAAGTATCGGTGAACTTCAATGGAGAGGGGGGGGGGGGGATGAAGTGGCTCGGGCGGCGCTGAAGCAGTTCGACGGGAAGATGGCGGGGGTGGGCAAATTGTCTGGGGGAGAGAATCGGTTTCATGGGGTGTGGCCGTGTGGGTTGCGGAAATGAGAAAACGAAGTGGGGTGGGGTGTTTTTTTTAGCCGCACGAGGCTCAATTCAAATTAGGGGGTGGGGGATAAATGGGTTAGAAAAGGGAGGGGGTGACCTTTTTATGATGTGTAGGGTGGTGTGTACAATGCTGTGTACACATAGCATTTTTCTTGAAAAAATGTAATCGATGAAAACCAAATATGTTTCAATGTTTCATCCCAAGTTATTAGTTGAATAATAGGGAGTAACTTAATTGGAGAACATGTCTACCTAATCACTACCCATATCACTGTATACGAAGTCTATTTTAAATATAGTTTGGATTTCCTTTCACGTGTGACATCTAAAGGATAACAAATAATGTACTTTAATTTATTATTATATTCAATTTCAACAAAACAAACATGACACATCACAATTCACTTATGAAGATTGCAATATACGAGTATGTGAAATGATGGGATCTGACATATATTTAGTCAATTAAGCAAAGCTCTTATGTGCGGAGTATGTAGTAATGTAGTATTGTTATGGTCATCTTCAATATATTTATTTGGAGTGATAGATTGAAGGATCAATTTAACTGCTGACTATTAAAGTTAGCATCGCGTAGCAGAAATAAGAGCAATCTAATTATTTGTAATTTTTTAAGTGACTGCACCTTTTCATTTTTCCGTTTAGTTCATCCAGAAATTTTGTTATCCTAGATTTTGGCGTTGTTTGTCAATCGGCTGTTAGTTGTTGTTAGCTGTTAGCTGATTGTCTCAGCTGCTTGATCACAACTGGTTGTGTTAGCTGTTTTGATTGACTGGTTATGTTGACTTGTTATTAATAAATGTTTGGTAAATTAGCTGTTTTTTTGCAAGAAAATTAGCTGTTTTGAAACAGCTGTTTGAGTGTAAAAAGACGTATAAGGACACAAGTATATATAATATTTGAGTAATGCTAATAGTGATAACGTTCAAACTATAATTATTATTTTAGAAAAATATTTTATTTGAAATTTAAAAAGAATAAATAAATTAAAATAAAACTAAAATAAATCTAAACGTGTATTTGAAATAAAACTAAATATTTTGTTCAAGACAAATAACATGTATGAGCAAAAGTTAAGATTAAAATTACAAATCTCTTTATATATATATATATATATATATATATAGATTTAGGTTCATGTGAGAATTTAATCTTAGGAGAGTAAAAAAGAATAGATCTTAACCATTGGATTAGATTATAATAATCCGTGTGCCTAAACCTTCTCTAAGGGTAAGGAAGTCAATTTCAATTGACCATTCCTACAATCCCTAAATTAAAGCTACGTTGATGATTCCTTATACAACCGTTTCTTTCCAAAGATATTTTACTCCATATTCGTTCTTCTTTCCTTGTGCAATCGTATCGATCGGATATCGTCCAGAAAGCGAAAACATTGATCGGAGTTCGGTGCTCTGTTATTCATCCTTCGTCGTTCTTCTTTCCGGCCTACTTTCTTCTTGTCGAATTTGAAGCTATTGTATTCGGTCTGCTGCGTTTTCAGTTTTTGGCTCCAGGCTAACGACTCTATGGATTTCAGTAAGTATCAATCGAATGAATTTTGTCGTTGTTTATACTGTTCAAGTTTTACGTTCTTGGGAAGTTTGGGATGTTTGCATATAAAATATATACTTTTGTTCGCATGGTTTAAGTTCTTCTGTAATCAAATTTCTTATGTTCCAAGATTATTTCGTACAATTTATATGCTCTTGACAGATTTTACTGTTTGTCAATTGTGCACCCTTATTGTTTTAATGTTTACGTTAATTTGGTTTTGCAATAGGCAATTTAATAGATATTGAAATGCTGATTGTTAAAGTTGATGCTACTATATATATTTGTTCTTGCACTTTTACATGTTATTGTTGCATATCTTCAGATCCGTGTGTACTAACATATTTTTAGATTGGTAGATTTGCACTAACAATTTAGTGCACTAACATTATCATATGATGCATTTAACATGTTTAAGGTCGAACATATTGATTTGTTAACGGTTAATTATTAACTTCTACTAAGACATTAATGATAATTTTTTTATCAATTTTTTGATGCACTTATCATATTAGATTCATGCACCTTTCATTAGTTTTTATTTTACTTTGTTTTGCAGATAAGAGTGGCATCGAGATACACTACCATGATGGAAATTATGATGCTTTCAAAAGAAAAGTGCATTTCAATTTGTTAAAAGTGTCAATGTAATCTTTCAGAAAAGTGTGATATACTAATGCACTTTTATGCATACTTAAGTGCACATGATAAAAGTGCATTTTATGTTGTAAAAGAGTGTCAGTGTAGAAATTTAGAAAGTGTGATGTAATAGTGCACATTTGTATTATTCTAAATGCAATATTTATATTTATATTAGTTTTTTTGCAGACATGTATGGATGTGTCCAACTAAATGCTTAAAGTGTATATTGATGTTCTAAAATGTGCAAATTAATAACATTAAAGTGTAGTTTACAATACTCCAAATTAACCTAATAAACTTGTATTTCTCTGTAGGTTGCAAAAATATCTAAATATGTAATTAAATTGATGTTGCAATATGTTTCAAATAAAAGTGCAAGGATTCAATATTTAAGTGCAAATACACAAAATTAAGTAGATGAAATATTGCATCTGAAAAGACAATTAAAAGTGAAAAATGCACAATTTGAATAAATATTGTTTATCAAATTATTCATCCGAATTATATGTGTGATAATACTAAATTTATTTTGGAAAGGAAATTAAAATAATGGAATAAAAAGGAAGTACGTTGCTCCTTATTAATTATTAGCCTACTTTTTAGAATGAATTCCTAGTATAGTGTTGCATACGTATTAATATTTGCTAAATAATAGGAAAGAGTCAACCGCCATAATTAATTGCTTCTTCCTTTTACCGAAATGCCCTTTTGATGCATGCTTGGCATTTTTAATTGTTGCACGGATGCCTCACGTGGCTTTTTTAATCGGCCAAACATTAATTCTCAACCGCATGATTGATATAATGGAGGGTCCGAAATTGTTCTTTTTTACTCACCTAAAAGAGTGTTCTCACAGGAACTAATCCCTATATATATATATATATATATATATATATATATATATATATATATATATATATATATATATATGGAACGGATCAGGTGAGAAGTGTTCTTAGGTTGAGAACCGCGAAGTTAAACTTATAGACTAAATATAGGAACTTTTAACCAATAAATCATAGCTTATAGACCCGTCCAAAAAATTTACAAAAATGACACTGAAAAAAAATAATTACGGAAACCTGGAAAAATTTTGACGCGGTTGCATTTTCGTAATTATTATGGATAGCTTTATAAGTTATGATTTATTGGTTATAAATTTCTATATGTAGTCTATAAGTTTAATGCGTTGTAAGATCAAATGTAAATCCAAGGGCTAAGATTACTTCTCACTTCTCATTTTACGGGGCACTTCTCACCTGATCTTATATATATATATATATATAGAGAGGAATGTTCATGTCAGGCCGGCCTGACGGGCTGCTCCGTCCGGCCGAGCCCGTTTGGGCACCTTCCCGGTGGAATTTTTTGATGAAATTTTTTGAGCATGTTCCTAATCAAGTCTAGTTTGTCCATACCAAATTTCAGCTCAAAATTCGATCGGGAAGGCATTCAAATCATTTTTTGAAGTTGACTGCAGTTTTATATGTATATTTTGACGCAGTCAACTTCAAAAAATGATTTGAATGCCTTCCCGATCGAATTTTGAGCTGAAATTTGGTATGGACAAACTAGACTTGATGGGGAACATGCTCAAAAAATTTCATCAAAAAATTCCACCGGGAAGGTGCCCAAATGGGCTCGGCCGGACGGAGCATCCCGTCAGGCCGGCCTGATGAGAAGAGCACTCTATATATATATATATATACATATATACGGAAAAGATCCTGTCCAGCCGGAGGGACAGGATCCTCCGTCCGGCCGCCGCCGTTTGGGGCGGTTCCCGGTGGAGTTTTTTGATGAAATTTTTATGGAATGTTCCTCATCAAGTCTAGTTTATCCACAAAAACTTTCAGCTAAAAATTCGATCGGGAAGGCAGTCAAATAATTTTTTGAAACATAACTGCGTTTTATATGTTTAAGTTGGAGCAGTTATCTTCAAAAAATTATTTGACTGCCTTCCCGATCGAATTTTTAGCTGAATTTTTTTGTGGGTAAACTAGACTTGATGAGGAACATTCCATAAAAATTTCATCAAAAAACTCCACCGGGAACCGCCCCAAACGGCGGCGGCCGGACGGAAGATCCTGTCCCTCCGGCTGGACAGGATCATTCCTCTACATACATACATATATATATACATATATATATATATATATATATATATACATATATATATATCCCAGTTTTGCCGAGGGAATAACCCCGTTTTTCACCTTAAATTGGTCAAAATATGCCGATTTTCTTACGTTTCGGGGAGGATTAGATCATGTAACTGGTGGTCTATGGCTGACCGATATTGCACACCATCATTTAGCTGTTGCTATTATTTTCCTTATGGCGGGGCATACACACACACACACACACACTCACACACACACACACACTTACATGTGTACAAAAATATATATATAAAAATTAAAAAAAATGTATACAAACATATATTTACATACGTAGTAATATATACGAGTGTAATTCACTAATTCAATACACAACACACGATATAAAAATATTTTAATACGGCACTAACAATAGTCTAACAATTAGTTTAGTATGGTAGAAACAATTTGAATGCGCACTAGCAATTAATTAGCATGGGAGTAATTCACTAATTCATCAATCGGCATTGTGGAGAGAGTGGGCCGTCCCGTCTTTTCCTTAATATATTGCGAGCAGCTATTGCAAAACGCTACCCATTGCAACATTTCAGCAAACGGCTGTTTGGTTCAAGAAGTTATACAAAAACAACTATTTACCAAACATGATTTTCAGTTGTTTGACCATTTCAACCAGCTAAACTCAGTCAAACAAGCTATTTTTT